CGTTCGAAGCTAAGTTGAACAGCTCTTTCATGCAAATAAAGAATTAGATACATTTGGATGCAGACTGAAGCGGGTAAAACAATTTCGAGATCGAATTATCTATGAGCATTAAAAAAAAAAAACACTAGGTCGGCTTTTCGACATTTTACTGTTGCGTTATAATGAAACGTAGTAAAGATATGATTGTTTAATTCATTTATCGTTTTTGTATGTTTTCCGTATCTTATTACGTTCATTTTAGTTAAAAGACTAGCCCTAAATGTAATCATTGAGGGGGACATTGCAAGGTACCCAATACCGCAATAACGTAAGAAAAAATGGCAAATACCGAGATACCGCGTCGAAAATCGTCTAAATACCGATCGATATCGCATATTTTGATCACATTTATAATCGGTGCCGCATACTTATGGTTACCTCCATCTAGCGCGTTTAATTGTCTCAGTCATTTATGCGCCAGACGTCCACGTTTTGGAATTTTGGTAGTTCGCAAATTTTTCGCACATTTTCACTGAAAAGTAAACTACATTCGTTCAACCTTTTGGCAGGTCGACCCAACAGCTAATTAACGCCAATAAAAATAACTCTTGAAAGCGCGAAAAACAAACCAACCAAAACCCTTTCCACGCACGTCTAGTGCGAGTTTTGATAAGCGAGTCTAGTCTAGCGCGTCAGTCTCTCAGGGGTCAACTATCTCGACTGTCTCACACGCCGCGCCGGTAAGAGGCAAACTTACCAAATTTTTTCTTTTAACTTTACAAGGCGTTTTTCAATTCTCAAACCCCGACATCTAAACTTATTCTTGTTGCCATAATGATCGACATGATCGCCTCCTTCGCCCTCTTCATAAAAAATTGCCACACAGTCAATGATGACCACGCCGTCTTCAACCTCAGCGACCTCAGCCATTGTGAGAAAACATGTAAGACCTCGAATTACCGGCACTGGTACACAGATCGAAAAGCCTGGTAAGGTAACTTGAGACGACTCATTATCATTGGATGCAACTACAAGCACATTGTATATTATCTACCATTAACTGTCACAAAATGACCCACAAATGGCGTAATCATTTACCGTTATGTCTCAAGACTTCTAAATATTAACTGTTATTGACCTTTACGTCCTACTGTGTTTTGTTTTGCGTATTGTATCGAAAGGAAAGCGCAAATAAACGGTACGGTTTTGGCCAATTCTTTATTTTCTCCGCGAGACATCAACTTAACACTTGGACTCTTGCCCCCCAGAAGTCACGTGGCATTGCGTGATTCTGTGGGTGTTGAGAGTTCTAGGTTAGAGCTTATAAATCAGAGTGCGCGGATGTTTTTCATCAGAGCTTTCTCTGGTTGTTACGCCATACTGACGAGCCCCAAAGAAGGCGAAACAGCTGTCTATGGCTACAATCCCGCTCTGTTTTGAGTTCTTACGGTGTCGTGTTGATGTCTTGCAGAGTTAATTTTCACGTAGTACGATCAGCATTGCAGTATTCTGCTTGCAGAATTTAATATGTCTACTGGTACCGTAATACTGTGAACAATCTTATTTCACCGAATACCGTCAGCCAAAATGATGAAAAACCATATACCGCAGAGCTACATGATACCGCAATACCGCACGTTAACATTAAAATTACCGAAATACCGCGTGAAAAAAAGCCCAATACCTCAATACCGTAAATCCCCATGTCCCCTTCAATCATTGGATCGCGAGAACGAAAAACAACAACAAAATAATTACAATGGTGCCAAAAGCACTTAACGTACCTGTTGATACGCGCTGTTTTTCACTTTGTTGGCGCCCTTTTGAAAACTGAAAAAGCAAAGAGTATACTGTGCAGTAAAGAACAGCAGTTAAATACTTCATTGCACGTCGCTGGTTCACGACTCAACAAGGACGTTTCACGATCTTTTACTTTTGATGGTTAAATTACTTTTTGTCAGACAGACATTGAAGTAAGATGAGCCACCTGCTGGACACCTACACGGCAGATTCATAGAAAATCACTACCAGCCAGCAGATGTTGTCAAATTGTCAGCTGAAAAAGTAAATTAAAATAATAATAATAATAATAATAATACGGTAGATTTGATGGGCTCCTGGGTAGATTTAACAACCAGCTACTTCTGTGATATTACAGCTGTTGAAGTGTGGGATACCTCGTAAAGTCCAGCCTCCCTTAATTTTTTACCCAAACGGGAAAAGAAAATGCAGAAAACAAGAAAATAAAGAAAAATAAAATAAAGAAACAAATATTATATAAGATTAACTTTAAAATCATTGCTTAGATGATTTCCCCCGTACAAAGGCAAAGTAACTTTCTGCTCTTATCATCGAATGGATAAGATTCCATTTTCATTATTCCATTTTTCGGAAGGAAGCTAAACAAATGATAGTCAGCGAGCGCTAGGTTGAATATGAGTCGAGTGGCTTGCGACTGCTTGTAGTGCCGTGGTTTTGGTAAAGTAATCATGTTGTTGCATTTTGAGTGCTTGGTACGTACATTAATGTTGGAAAGTGCTGAATTTTTCTTCTTTCTTTCAAAGGGTCTATGGACAGTAAAAGCAGCATTCCAGTCTTAATCTCGTTTTATAAATCTTGCTGCTCGTCTCTTGACCGCTCTAACCTTGTCTATGTGATATTGCTGGTAGGGATCTCTTACAGCAGGAGCAAATTCTAAATGAAGTCTAAAAACACATACATTGCAGCTGGTGGCCGACGTTACGTTCTTACAAGAATTTAATTGGGTGAGAATTTTACTATGTACAAATCTTTCTAGTCTTTTAGTTGATAATGGTGAGAGTCCATTCCATTTGAATTGGTAAGTTTTCCTTTCGTTTATTCCTATTTGCAAAGGAAAATTTTCCAATCGAAAATGCATCCATTTTCTGTTCGACAACTTATTCTGTCGAGTCAAAAACAAGCCTGTCTATTCGTGCAATCGCACGAACAAGCTGTTTGTCTCAGAGTTATGCTAACTTTAATTTCTGATATATTATGAGACGCAATTTTATCGTTTGGGAACTTGTATTATGTCAAGTCCACAAAGATTCAATCTTTCCACTCGTTAAATTCGAACGAGAGGACAATTTGTTGCAGAGCCCCTCACATCATTTAAAGATCTTTGAAGTCTCTCTAAATGAGATGCATTGTTCGGGCTCATTGTGGGTTCATCGCTGCCGCGGCGATGACTGACCGGCGGCAGACATGTTGTGGGCTTCGTTCAGCAGTCATGCAAAAAAACCACGAAAAATCCAACGCAACGTGAGAAGTATCTTTATCCACGTTTCCCGCGTAGTTGATCTCGAGACGAATGTAGAATAGGGCACGCCCTTCTCTTAGCCCTTTATACATTCTTTCGTGACAACTCCTTTTTCGCGGTTGGCAATGATTTTCAATTTCTCTATTTATATATACGGCTCATACGAGTCGACAACTCGTTGTGTGGCCATTGCTGGGCAATTTCCAGCTCTCTTAAATGAGATGCATTTTTCCGTTCGACAAATAACGTCACCCTGTCGGATCTTCCATGCAAGAAGAAAATGATTCCATCCATTCGTACTACAAGTGCGAACCAACAATTTGTTAAATGGGCCCTTTACACTTGGCAATGACTTTTTCTATTCATACGCCTCGTATCGTGAGTCGATTGACAGCCGTGTTGCAGGGCCCTTTAAACTTGACAGTTTCCTCCCACCGAACTCTTTCACGTGAGATACATTTTGCCGACCACCGATCGAAACCTGGCATTTACCGTGGTTGTTTAGGAGAAGTTTATTTGTATAATTCTTTTACAATTATTTGTGATTTGTTGGCTTCAAACAGTACATAACTTGCCAGACTTACTTGGTGGAACAGGCAAACTGGTCCTCAAGAAGGCCGAGGGTATCACTGTGTAATTTGTGCCGTCAGGTGCCTGCATTCCAACTTCTAAGTGATCATTTTGATGATCGTCTTTCATTATCGTTTCCATGTAATAATATTTTCCCTTCACCAGAGGAATAGGAAGTGATATTTGGTTCTCATACCTATATAGATTTATACATTTTAAGGTTGATTATATTACTGGTTGTCCCAGATATGGTCCTTTATTTAATCCCGTCACCCAATCTGACCCTTTGAAGCTTAATTAGAAAACAGTAAAGATAAAACGTATGTTGATAAGCACTGCCCTAAACTGTTTCGAGGTGCTTTTTGTACTTGCTTCGGTTATACGCTCCTCCGTTTATAATCCCTCTCTGTGCGGCACATGCTCAGTTGTTGTGCAGTGCATTCATTGAGAAATGTGTGATGGACTTAATATACGACTACAAATTATAAACATTACAACTTAAACGAACGAACTCGGGCTCGAAAAGCTACGAGCCTGGTGGTAGAAGAAACGAGAACTCTTTGATATTTAGCCCAGGGCTTACAAGGGACTCTTTACCGAGATACATTTCTTTGTTTTGTTTTGTTTTTCTTTTTAACATCCCCAAGTCTCGGAGCTAAATATGAACTTAACTAACTTTTCAGTTAATATTCTTAACTCTAAACTGTGTGCGGTACGGTGTTTTCTGCAAAAAGCTAGGAACTGAAATCAATAACATGGTATGTTCATCCTCGAGTTTGTTTATAGATTGTTCCTAGTTCATAATTTTCCTTATATAAGATTGAGCTCGTGCGCTGACCGTTACGTGCGGCAATCTTGGTCTCAAATGTGCCGAAAAGGAAGGGACGAAAAAGAACTTTTCTTTCGTCCCTTCCCATGAGTCCTCGCACGCCTCAACCTAGCCCCAATCTTCTCTCACCCCAGAAACAGATAAATAGCGACTGGGTACGAGTCTACCGAAATCGCCAAATCGGGGTTCAAGTGGATTTTCCACAGATCATCCACAGCTTAAAGTCGGTAATTTAAAAACAAACACGGTCACCTGTAACTATCCCGAACCCCCTAGTCCGTGTAAGGTGGGGAAAACATTTACAAAAAGACGCTACACTGAAAAATTAATAGAACTTTTATCTCACCTGTCAAACTCAAATGGATATGTTGCAAATCCTCCATCTACGTAAGAAATCTTTGACTTTGAGTCAGGTTTCTCATTAGTACTTAGATACAGCTCGCTTCCAGCGTCAGAAGCTGAAAGAAAAAGAGTTATGGTGTATGCATTGATTCTTAAGTTTCTTTTCCGTGTCAAGGCTGGCTAGTTTATCTCATTCATGATGCCAGTTACTTGAATTATTACTTTTGAATAGGGAGGTTAAGCATCACGTTTACGTCAAACGGCAAACGCAAATTCGTACCACGTGACAAACTTTCCTCTTTACTTGTCGTTTACTGTTCATTATTTCTACGCCCAAATTAGTAGTTTCACGCAATTTTTAATCTATAAGAATTGCTTTTGAGCTGTTTTTATCTGCTCTTTTTCTATTTTGAGAAATTCTCAACTCAAATCTGACGTTTGCCATTCGCCGTATACGTGAAGCTTAAACTCTCTCATGACAAAATCACAAAGTGTTGTTTTACAAACAACAAAATGAACTTTGAAAAACAATTAGACTGACAAGTTTTAAAAAAACGATAATTGCAATCCGTTAAACTCTTCTTCACGTTTTTCCATCCGTGCCTCCTTTAGCAGTGGCGGATCCAGGGGAGCGGCACGGGAGGCCCGGTTCCCCCCCCCCTTATTTTTGGACCAAACTGTTTGCATCTAAGGTCAAAATTTCAGTTATTTTGAAAATGATCGAATGAACCTATCGGTTAGCGAAGCAAAATTGACCGGTTACGTTTGGGTGGTAGGTACTGTGCTACTATTCAACAGCAGGTTTTGATTTTCAAATTTGTCTTCGGACACAAAAAGTCACCGCGCCTTTCAAGAAACGGGCCCCAGGAGCCAGTTTTCGGGCCCGAAGGCAAATTTTAAAATTAAAACCTGTCAAAGATGACAGAGTTAGTAATTTAAATATCAAAATACCCTTACATAGCATGAAGTGGTAAATTCCAGTCTGCTGTGGAACAAAATACGTCCTTGCTCGAGCACCGAAATAATCAGCCCACCTTGGCGGTTGCTGGAAATCAGGAAGACATATTGTTTTCGATGGTAGCCTTGGATAACGAGGGTCCATGAGGAGGAATTTAACACGCTTGTAATCTATCCGGTCCCATCTTTCTAAATAGATGCCGTTGGTAACTGAAATGGAAAGAGTCTCACTGGAATGTTGCAAACATTTGTCTCTGAAGGTACAGTGACTACCGTACAGGTTGTCGAAAGGTCAGTCACTGTCAACAACAGTAGGAAGCTTAAGCAACGACGACGGCGACAGCAACGAGGACGGCAAAAAACAATTCGTTTAGATTGGCAAAACAACAATTTTGCGTGCATCACGCCTCTTTCATTTCAGTTTGCCGTCACTGCACGACTACGACGTGAAAATGCCTAATTTCACGTTTTGTGGAGGATGATAAACACAAGGCAACGACTTGCTTTTTCTTTTCCTGGACTTCGATACAGTCTTTTAGAACTCAACTCCAGAAGCAAATCGACAACATTTGACGAATTGAACAAGACTCCGGATGAGATGGAATGAGCGCGATGAATTAAGTTTGAAGCAGCGCGACTTCACTTTTTGAGGGACGTTTTCGTAGCCGTCGCAGTCGTTGTTGCTTTTAAGCTCCTTATTCCTTAGAACTGACTTAGTACGTTTACCTTGAAGAGCATGATGATCAACCTACGAATGAAATGACTCCTGACCAGGTTCAAACCTTTCACAAAACAAAGTACAGCAAACGCTTTGTGGGTCAATAACCACGTTCGATATATTGAAATTCTAACACGACTCCGAGGCTTTCTGGTCATTTTTCGATATTTCGTTTGGTTTTCTTTGTTCTCAAGTTTCCTCTGGGAATTGCGAGACAATGGAGTCTTGAGAAATTTGCAATTTTGACACTAAAGCCTTGGAGTCATGTTAGAATTTTAATATATAGAACGCGGGCTACACCCCCCATTTACCACGTGGGTGAAGCTGGCCGGGGTCGGGCTGGGGTTAGGTACAGTTCATTGAAGAAAGCTGTGATGCGCTTAAAGGGGCTATCGCGAGGCTATTATTGTTTTAGGTCAATCCTTTGATGAAGTCATTATTACCAACGAGCAGCCTCGTGAAGACGCGAAGCTACGAGGCGGCTTCCTAATATTGCCGTGCGCGAAAGTTACAAGGCAGCCGAATAAATCTGGAAGCGATGAAACATAAGGTACTGTAAGGTAACTTTTTTGACGTAATGCAGAACAGAGAATGCAACGTTTTCGAGCGAATACGTGATACAGAACACTGAGAATCCACGATCAGAGCCGTGCGTGTGTTTGTGAGTCCCGCGCTCATCCCGTCTTCAACCAATCGTCGGGTGGATTCTTTTGCAACATACGCGTATCACATTTCATCTTTCTTATTCATACCTAATGGTTCAAGAGTTTTACCTTTCTCGATGAGGTATGCTTCTCTAGCTTTTCGTACACTGTCTCCGTCTCG